GTTCCAGGCGCCGCTTCCTCCCCGGGCCCCTGCAGGCCTGGCGAGGGCCGTGGCTCCCAGCTGGCACTCGTTTGATCCTCACGTGTCCTCACCCGTGCCTTTTCTACAGAGGCTCCTTTAGACGCTCCTCGGGTTGCCCAGTGGAGCGTGACATCCTCCCCCTGCCGGGCTGGTGCAGGAGACCGGCGTGTGCTGTCCCCGTGTCCCGGCGCGCTGCTTCGCCCGGGTGTAGACGGAGCCCACCGGCAGCACACCCGACCCCACTGCCCTCGGGCGAGGTGCCGGCGTTTTCCCTGCCCTTTAACTTTGTCGTGACGGGCTCCCAGGCAGCACGCTCGGTGTCATCTGCTGTGGGGTGGCAGCTTGCCGAGCACTTTCAGCACGCGAGTGTGGATGTTGAGTTCGTTCTCGGTGCAAGAATAGGCAAATTGCAACCGAGACATGCTCAAAACGTAGCTAAGGGCTATCAGAAAGAAAAAAAATGTGCCGTCGGCTTTTGTTCTCCACTTTTTATAGAGTAAAAGAGCCTCACGTGACTACACAGCCCACCCCAGATGGGACTCGAACCCACAATCCCTGGCTTAGGAGGCCAGTGCCTTATCCATTAGGCCACTGGGGCTTCGCGCAAACGCCGCCCGGTCACATGCTTCTTAAACTGTGTCGCCGCGTGTTGCGTAATGACGTCACTACAGGAAGCGCCCAGGTGCAAAACCCGATTGGATGTGCGCCAGACTTCCCAGTCCCGTGTCCCGAGAGCCGTCGCCCAGGGAGAGGCCGAGGGCCTTTCTGTGTCTAAAACAAGCGCTGGGGCTGGATTTACTGTGGGGATTAAAATGGTCCGTGCACGAAGGGACTCAACGCCCCAGTCTCCTGACCCGAGAATAAGCACCGTCGTCATTCGGCCACTCGGCCACTTCACACGGCCGCCCTCGCCGGGAGACCTATTTGGCCATCAGCGGCCGCACCAGCGGCGACGCGGTCCGCAGTCACACCGCAGTCGGCCTCCGTCGCGCCCGTGACCACGCTGCGGCGTCCGCTCCCGCTGGAATGGCTGGCGCCGCCACCTGCGAGCGACAGCACCTAGGCCACTCTCCAGGGCACTACGGGCGTCGCGACCGCGTGGCCTAACGGATAAGGCGTCTGACTTCGGATCAGAAGATTGAGGGTTCGAGTCCCTTCGTGGTCGGCCTCCGTTTTGGGCCAGCGGCCCGTGGCCCCGGCGGCGCAGCGCTCCTCTCCAGCGTCGTCGGCGGGTTCGTTCTTCCTCCCGACTTGTCCCCGTGGCCGGTCCTGCGCGCTCCGCTCTGCCCCGTCAGCCTCTCAGCGCTGGCCTCCCGGGGAGCCCCTCCTCTGCGTGTTGTGCGCGCCCGCACACGCCCCTGTCCCTGCGGGTCACCGCCCAGTCGCCTCTCCTGGAACTCTTGTCCTCGCGTGGCCCCGTGGAAACCCGCCCGGCCGGCGGCCCATCCCGTTGTCCAGCTGCCTCTCCGGGCACGTGGCGGGACGCGCTATGACGGACCACGTGGGGCTGGCGCTTTACCGCGCCCCAGTGGCCTAATGGATAAGGCACTGGCCTCCTAAGCCAGGGATTGTGGGTTCGAGTCCCACCTGGGGTGACGAGCAGCGCAACTTTTGGTGCCAGGAGCGCGCGGCCGGGGCACCTCTCCCTCCTGCCGCTGGCTGCCCTGGCTGCCGCGCCCCCGCCTTCTCTTTAGGGGCCCCGTGTTTGCAAGCAGGGTGTCTGCATGTCATTTGTCTCTGGCTCCGAGTGTAAGTGTCGTCGGCGTCGGCATTATCCTCTTGGGCTCCCGGGCTGCCCCGCCAGCCGGAGCTGGGGTGTCTTGAAACCCCCTGTGACCGTAAAACTCCACGTAAATTCTGCCCTCGATCTTGATCTGTGAGGTTGGCACGAGTTCGGGGTGCCCACCAGTGCAAAAGCTGGCCCTTCATTCGACTGACTCGGCGATGCAGCGCGCACACTCGTGGTCTTTAATGCGGAGGTGGCAGATAACCTCCAAAACTCGGTGCATGCGGCAAGTGGAACCGGAGGTCGGAGTCGATGCCAGAGTCTTTGGTTGAGAAGGGGAAATCCAAAAAGTAGCGCCTTTACCCCAGGTGGGACTCGAACCCACAATCCCTGGCTTAGGAGGCCAGTGCCTTATCCATTAGGCCACTGGGGCCTGCGGCCAGGGACCCCTTGTCTCTTCTTCTAATGGGCATTCCGGCCCCTTTCTCCTAAGGGAAGCTTAGACGTGTCTATCGAGCGGACCCTGTCCGCGGGGTCCTGTGACCAGGGCGCACACGGAAAACACTGCCAACCCTTAGTCCAGGGATTCTGGCAGCTGAATCGATTATTGTGAAGTCCCATCTGTCTGAGATCCAAGACACATGTGGAAATTCACTCTCAGTACAGGGTGAGTCCTTGGGGAAGCCGGTAGGACTAATGAAGGGTCCACTCTGAAATGTCAACAATTGAAAAACACAACCCAAAGGTGACAGAGGACCTGCAGGGAACTTTATTCTCTTGATTCTCTCTTCTCTTGGGCACCGCTTCTCGGGAAGACCAGCTCGGATCCTGGCATAGGGATCCTCCACCTTCTTGGGCACCTGTGGCATTGCCAGCAGGCCGAAGGGGGCAGCTGGTGGTGTTTGCTCCAGCCTGACCCAGGGGCCCAGCCCTCAGCTCTTTTTTTTTTTTTTTTTTTAAAGATTGGGCTCCAAGGTCAAGGGATAAATAAAGGATGGGCTCTACTTTCTACCCCTCAGCCTGTTTTGTTTCTTTACCTCTCTCTCCCTTCCTGTGTATCTCAAGTACTTCTCCAGGTCCCTTCACATGCCACCAATGTTTTCAGAGGTCCTGTCGGGCCCAGCACTATGCTCCAGGGTCAATCCACAGGGATGCTTTCTCTGCTTTCCCACCATCCCCCTAACCAGACCCAGCTCTAACTTGCCTAACTCCTCAGCTGCTCTGATGTTTCCAAGACTTCACTCGTCCCCCACAATCCTGGATCTCCCAACTCCGGTGCTCCATTCCCTCTCCTGGGCATTGCTGCCAGGCACTCCTCCTCAGGGCCTGCAGGCAAAGCCACACTTATCCCACCATCCTCCTAAGCCTGCTTCCATTCATGACTTTCCATCTCAATGCGGCATCACCCCACATCACACCCCAGTTCCCATACCACCTAGGCCAATTTTCTGTCCCCATAATCCTCCGGCATCCGGCATTTCCTCTCCATCCTCATTGCCACTGCCCTCGTTCCAGGATGGGTCCCTGACTGCTCACATGGGGCAGTTGGCCAACCCATGCCCACTTCCTACAGTCTTTCTTCGTCCTATCGTGGGCAGGTCCCTGACAGCTTCTGTAGGGGTAAGGTCTAAATGTCTTGGCTGTTGCATTGAAGGCCTTTCTAGATGTGGATCCCACTCAGTGGGGCAGACTCAGCTTTCACAGCTCCTTGTGCCCTGGGTTGCAGCCAAACTGGGCTATAAAGCATGGCTAACATTCCTGAGTACTTGCTCAATGTCATTAACCACTTATTTACTTAAATTCCACAATAACCCTAAGAAGCAGGCGCTAATAACAACATCCTGAGTTTATAGATGGGGAAACGAAGGTTCAGAGAGGTTAAGTAGTTTGCCCAAGGTGTCACAGCTGAGGGTGGTAGATGGGCAGGTGCTGATGCTGGGCAGTCTGGCTTCAGAGACCATTCTCTCAATAACAAGAGTTCACTGTAGGAAGGCTGTGAAGCTGTCCACACATTCCTAGCCTTGCCCTTGGCTACCCCTGGATCCTCAGGGGACATGTCTTACTTTGCTTGCCTAGCCAGCTCTTCCCCTCCTTTGGACCGTTTCAGCACTTTGAATATACCTTCCCTGACCCTCCAGCTGCAACTAGGTGCTTCTCTGCCTCCCACAATCTACTGAGATCTTTGTCACTTACCATGCTTTGTGTGATGTTACTGTAACAGGAATCCATTTTTCTCCTCAGCTTTTATCATTGCCTGATCGAATGTCGATTCTCTGGAAGACAGGACTTTGTTTTGTTCACTGCTGATTCCTCTCCACCTCGCCCATGCCTGGCATTCAGTAAGTGCTTGTTGAGTTACTGAATGAACTAGTGAATGTGGCACGTCCTGTATGTGAACCTCTGTCCCATACTAGGCTCTGAGTCCTCTGAGGATGGGGACCATGTCTTCCACATCTTTTGTATTTTGCAAAAGTTATTTATGAATGACTTTTTATTTTCCCCCTTGTTAGACTCACATGAATGATGAGGTCCCTGCTCACATAAAGTGTGTATACTACTACAGTTCATTACCTTGCATGTAGAGCATCACGATGCAATATTTGTCAGATGAGAGAACTAGATCAAAATAATATAGAACATTCTAAGAAATCTGTACACGCCAGAGTACCTACTACTGTTATGCCAGCTTGGGTGCTCTTCCCTTTACCCAGAGGATTGCAAAAATCTCTTTCCAGTTCCATCTCACTCTTCCTGCCTATAAAAACCCACTGCCTAATCCAGTATCTAATACTCTGTGATCCTCAGTGGCTCCCTATTACCTATGTTTTTTACAATCTAAATTCCTTAGCTTGAATTCAAGGCTGCCTGCCATCAAGCCTCTGTCTCTCTCTCCAGGCTCACCTCCCACGATTTCTCTGCATGAATCTGCCATTCAGTACCATGTACTGGCTTCCTCGTGTCCTCCTCCACCCCCACCTCTTTTCTGTCTCCTATATTCATAGCTCCCTTCAAATGGCATGTCTTTCTCCCCTGTCTACTGATTAAAATCCTATTGCTTTTCCAAGGCCCAGCTCACCTGTCTCAGCCCTCCTACCTGACTGTGTTCTTTAAGGGCAGACACCGGAACACCTTCCTGTCCACCCCATGCTGTGATAAATAATTAGTGCCAAGTCAGTAACTGTGAGGCAGATTTCAATTAAGACAAAAGGTAGGAATTCTGTTCTGAAGCATTCTGAGTGAGAAGAGAAGCCTACTGAGTTTAGAATTTTATTTCAGCTAATACATTAGATGGACACTTAAGTTTTGACAACATGGTGATTGCCTTTAAAGACCTTTGCAACCAGTGCCTGCAGCCCTCATTCCAAATGAACACACTTGTGACAGCTCCAATGTTATAGACAAGCATTAACAGCAAAAAAAAAGAGAAAGAATTTCCTTATGGTGTTAAAGGTCTCTGAGCTGCAGCTGCCCCGACACCCTGAAGGGTGGTCTTTGCTGGCTGTAGAAGGTGATTTCAGTCCATATCAACCCTTCTGCTTGTCTTTATGGCAGAATTTATTCTCTTTTGTCTCAGCCTTTCCCGATTCATGTTCTCTATCCTGAAAACAAAAAGATCACAGTTAGGCCCAGATGCCAATCAGTGCTTTTCTTTTTTTTTTTTTAAAGATGACCGGTAAGGGGATCTTAACCCTTGACTTGGTGTTATCAGCACCACGCTCACCCAGTGAGCAAACCGGCCATCCCTATATGGGATCCGAACCCGTGGCCTTGGTGTTATCAGCACCGCACTCTCCCGAGTGAGCTACGGGCTGGCCCACCAATCAGTGCTTTTCGAAGTGGTGAGAGGAGCAGGAAGCTCCGTGGGAGGCACAGCAGCCAAATCAGCAGTGCCAGCTTGAGAACCTCTCTATTCCAGGCCAGAGTCTGCTCCCCTCCCTGGAGCTTTTCCACTTGTTTGTTAGGAGGTCTCAGATTTTTCTCTGCCTCCCTCATTACCTGTGCAGCCTTTCGTCCACACAAATCAGTTTAGAGCAGCCTAGGCATGTTCTGGTACCTGATTCGCTGAAGTTTAACATCTTCTTTGGATGGCTCCTTGGATGTCTGACTGGCCTCAGCGATCATGTCTCGAATTTTCTGAAGGCAGTCTGCCAGATTCCGGAACTGATAGCGGCTGCTTTCAGAGGTGAGTATCAACTCTCCTGACCTGTTGATCTTGTTTTTATGCTGCAGAGAACAAAGGGAAAACCAGAGTCCCACAGAGTAAAGGTTTAAAAGCCAGTGAGGAATTTATAGGAAAAGAAAGGCCTGGTGGTTACCGTGATGGCAATCTTCTGCCTCACGGGCTCTGCAATCCAGTCGGCGGTTGCCAAATGGAACCTGACTTCAGCCTTGGAATTCACTGTGGATGAAAGAGAGCAGGGAGCATGGGTCACTAAGACTCTCAGGAAGGCTCAGCACCCAGGTGACCAGTGACTGTCCTGAAACAAATGGATGCCAGATACCCAAACATGCATGTTGCAGCCTATGTCAAAGTTGGCCATGGACCAAACCCACAAAGATAGCGAGGCACCTTTGGACAAAAATAGCCCTAACTAAATGTCCAGTGCTTCTCTTACAGTTTTACTGGGTACGGAAAGGAATGGGGGAACGGGTTTCATGAGAATGAAGGATACCTGTTCTTGGAGCTGGTTGCCAACTCACACTGTGATTTCTCTTTGTTTAGGCTCACAAGCCAATCCTAGTCCTAGCAGCCCACAGCTGAGAGTCTGAGAATCAGACCACATTCAAAAGAATAAAGAGGATTATTATAAGCTGGTGGTATTTGAGCTTCTGCTGAAAAATCCCTTTATTCCGCATGAACATTAACACAGAGCTCCTCAAACCCACCTCCCAGCTGAATTTTACAGCAAAAGAAGACAAAGTGCCCTGTACCTTTGTTAACATTCTGCCCCCCAGGACCACTACTCCGACAATAAGATATCGTCAAGCGATCTGTAAAACATAAGAACGAACACACACACACACGATTATCCCATGGCAAAATATGCAAACTGCTAATTTACTATCCACATAACTATCCCTATTACACGTCTCTTTCAATGACATATATAGATCAAGAAAGCTGGAGGTTATTTACAGATATCAGAATAAAATCAGAAGCAAGTGACTTCCCCAAGGTCACACAAACAGCTGAGAAAAATTATGAGCCGGCTGTCTGCTTCTGGTCCAGTACATTCCACCAGATCCTGCTGCCCTAGTTTTTTGCAGTTTGTTTTGTTTATTTGTTTTAAAGCAAGGGCTCTTTCAAAAGCTCAAACTAAGAGACAAACTTAGTTCAATGTATTTTGAAACATGGTGGATGTGTTATCCCAATAAGCTGTAAGCTCCAACAGGGCAGGACTGTGTCTAACACATTATGTGTTCACTGTGTGTTTCCAGGGCCTAGCTCATGGTCAGTGTTATAAATGATTTAAAAAAAAAAAAAAAAGTACTGAGGCTGGCCGGTTAGCTGAGTTGGTTGCAATGCAGTGTTATAACACCACGGTCAAGGGTTCAGATCCCTGTACCACGCACCAAAAAAACCCAAAACCAAAACCAACAAAAAACTCCATCTGAAGTTGAAAGCCCAGTTTTTTTTTTTTTGTCTTTTTGTCTCTTTTTTCGGGACCAGCAACGGATCGCAACCCTCAGTGTCGCGCCCATACTGGACCGGGACCAGCAACGGGATCACAACCCTCGGTGTTGCCCCCGCTCCTCGCTCAGCCAGTGAGCGGCCGGTCTGTATGTGGGATCCGCACCCTCGGCGGGAGCGCCGCCGTGCTTCCCAAGTGGTGCACTGTAGCAGTGCGCCACCGGGCCGGCCCCGAAAGCCCCAGTTTTGAACACCAGCTTAGCTACTAACTGACTGTGCTCTTGGCAAAGTCCCATTGCTTCTCTGGGTCTCAGGTTTTTTTTTTTTTTTTTAAAAAAAGGATGACCAGGGTCTGGCCTGTGGCTCACTCGGTAGAGTGCGGTGCTGATAACACCAAGGCCACGGGTTCGGATCCCTATATAGAGATGGATGGTTGGCTCACTTGGGAGAGTGTGGTGCTGATAACACCAAGGCCACGGGTTCGGATCCCTATATAGAGATGGCCGGGTGGCTCACTTGGGAGAGTGTGGTGCTGATAACACCAAG